TGTATTTTAATCATCTTTTAAACGTTAAAAAATATAAGCAGCTAAAATGGGATTGAAAAGATAAACCATACAATATAACTATATTATTTTAGCTTTTTAAAATTTTCTAATGATTAAATATACGGGATACCTCCGTTATTTACATTTCATGTTTTATACATATATGCGTGTAATTTAAGAAGTTCGATCACCTTTCCCCACACCCTCCTGCCTACGCGCATATATTATATACTAAGCTGCATCTATTTCAATTTACTGAGACGGGAGTATAGAAAATTCAACGACAACAACAAAAAAGTCACAAGTACCAATGTTTATACACATAAATATGGCTCGGCATGGCCAAGTGGTTAGGACGCTTGACTCGCAATCTGAAGGTCGCGGGTTCGTAATCCCCGCGAGGGCATTATCAAAGAAACAATAAAAAAAAGTGTGAAGGGATTAAACATGGAACATTACACTTTCATTTATTGTTTATTTTTTGAGCTACTGTAACCGAATAGTGACCGTCATTCTTATAATGCAACCACAGCTCCCTAAGTGCATAACGTGATATTCTTTCTTTTTTGGTGATTATGAGGTACAAATCGTGGAAGCTCAGATCTAAACCTACAGTCCGGCGCTAACCACTTGGCTGTACTCGGCTCTGGTATTGGAAATAAATATTTTGACGCAACTTAACATAAAATCAATCACGGTAACAGAACTATTTAAACACAGTTTTTAAATCTATAATTTATTTACTACACCGCAAGCTTCCGTGAATAACTAAACATACTCAAATGAAACACGTGTTTATTCAAAACTTATTTCACCCCAATTATAAAGTTCTAGATTTTTTATCAAGTTATGTTATTTAAATTTTCGAATTATTTTTAGCCCATATCTCCAACCTTCAACTGGTAGGGTTAAATATTTGTATCATAAGTAGTAGGGTAGGTCAAAATGACCTATGTATAATACACTTCAAAAATATTACTTTTATAATACGGTGGGGTCAGAATGACCCATAAACGACAAATAAACTATTACAGCAGTAAGAAAGAGAATCGCGACAGCTCATCCACTCTGCTCAACACTCAAGAACTGATTGAGGACAGAGTACAGAAAATATCAACTAGAGAGCACTACTAGCTGAGTTGGAATATCGACTTGAAAAATCGACGTGGGTCATTCTGACCCCACCCTATGCTTCGAGAATTAAAACAATAAATATGGCCTTCGCGTAAAAAGCAGTTTTTGATTTTATTTCCATTACAAATAGTTTTATTCGTTTTGTCCAAGCTGCACAATTGGCTATCAACACTGTGCCCATAGGAAAGATCGATCCTCGAATTTTAGCGTTGTAAGCCCTCGAGCTTTCTGCTGAGTTACCGAAGCGTTCCAAATAGTTTGGAACATATTCAACTTCAATGATAATTCTTAGGTTGTGTTTTATCTTCAGTTAACTTCGGAATTTTTTAGTAAAACATTTTAAGACTAACCCAGTGCTAGATTGTGACGAAATATCCCAGAGGATTATGCATTAAAAATGCTAGAATCCTCTAAATTTTAATATACACACTAATGCGCGCGCACGCACCTATATGTGTATGTTTAAAAACGATACACATATCAGCATCTTTTGTATGTTATAAGTTATACATAATTTACTTAATATGTAGAATTTTGAACACAAATAACTATCACAATTGAAAAGTTTTATTACAGTTTCAGATTTTAACTGCAGTGAGCTAATCAGAAACCAAAGAGAAATCTAATTATTAAACATCAACATACACCAGATCATACATTTAAAAATCACATAGTAGGTCATATTATCTTCGGTTTTAACTACGCAATAGCAAAACAAAACAATTATAAAACCTTACTTATGAGTGAAAGTAAAGAAGAAAATATAACAAATGTTAACCATACTGTATCTGTTATATCCAGTGCCAATGAGATTGTTTGTTTGTTTGTGTGTAATTTAGGCACAAAGCTACACAAAGGGCTATCTGTGCTCTGCCCACCATGGGTATCGAAACCCGGATTCTAGCGTTGTAAGTCCGCAGACATACCGCTGTGCCACTGGGGGGCGTATCAATGAGGCGTTTCACCCAATACCACATCTCAATTAGACTGGTTTGGAACCCTAGGATACGACAGATACAGTAATGATTGAAACACTGTTTATAGTATCAAACTGCATGAAGAACAACTGTTATGGTGTTGAATTAGATTACGTTGGAGAGAGATGTAATTTATACAAATTGTATACAAGTCGTTTACAGAAAACAATTATGGTAAGAATTAATGACACAATATTAGTTATCTTAAAACTATTTATTTTTACTCGAATTAACTTTACTCATGATTCAGATATACATAAGTTTACGTCATACTAGTCAAACTTCGTTATAATACTGTACCTAATATACATAACAGAGGAAATCCGTCTTCGACTAACAACGGTGCAATTATATAATATGAAAACGAAATACCTTTGATTCAAAAACCGTAATGTTGCTAGTGCCAGCTATATAAGTGTTTGTTAACGACCGTAATAATCGAGTGGATAGCACACCACCAGCCTCTCTCAATAAGACCTAGGTTCGAATCTCGGCCCCAATACCACCACAAAAAGTCCTTCCCTAAAGACGGCAGCATCGAATTCCGTCCCCTAAACCAGTGTTTTCCAAACTTTTTGAGCTCGCGGCACACTTTTAATGTCCCAAACTTTTTGCGGCTCATGTCAATAAGTCCGTAAGTTGGAATTTTAAAAAAAATATTAAATTGATAATACATTTACATTGATAAATAAAAAAAATACTTAATAATTAAAAAAAGTCTGCGGCACAACTGTTTTCCGCGACACACAGTTTGGGAAGCACCCTAAACCACCACAAACAGTCTTTCCCAGGACTTCCCTGATGATGGCAACAGATTAGCAGACAAAACGTAAAATATATACTAATTATTATCTACTAATAATAATAACAGTAAGGAATTAATTTTTACATTTAGTTGGTCTTATAACCATGGCAACATAATATACTTTATCTAATATAAAGGTTTAAACTTCACGTTAAATCCTCATGGAAAGGTCTGCCTAATTTATTTTATAAACCTTCGTTCTAAAGCAAAGATTGTTTGTTTCGAATTTCGCGCAAAGCTACTCGAGGGCTATCTGCGCTAGCCGTCCCTAATTTAGCAGTGTAAGACTAGAGGGAAGGCAGATAGTCATCACCATCCACCGCCAACTCTTGGGCTACTCTTTTACCAACGAATAGTGGGATTGACCGTCACATTATAACACCCTCACGGCTGAAAGGACGAGCATATTTGGTAGAACGGGAATTCGAACCCGCAAGTCGCAGATTGCGATTCGAGGGCCCTAATAACCTGGCCATGCCGGGCCTAAAGCAAAGCTAATTGAATTGGTATTTCAGATACAAGCTAAGAAATCCAAAACGCGTTTGAAAATTATAATATCTTTTACTCTTGTATTTTAAAAATGGAGTGTAAGTGAATAGTGTAATATACATCTTAAAAATTTATTTTGATTGCTATTTAATTTCCTACCAAAAATTTAGTTAAACATTTGAAAGTGTAATTGGATTCTATTAAAATAACGTGCGTCTCGAAGATTTTGTTAAACATGTTTAGGTTTTATGCATATTTTCAAGAATTTTCAATGATGGATTTGTTTCCGAATTTCGCATAACCAGTCCCAAATTTTATTTTGAGTCTCTTATGGACTATATCTTTATTATTTCAATGTTTTTGTTCACTAGGGGGAGACTCCTTTTACGTGATGTAATGATTAATGAAGTCGAGAAATTTCATGAAAGTTTAGACATCTGTGGAATTTCGAGGTTTCTACTAGTACGCAGAAAGACTAGTACAATATAAAATTGGCAGATTGACTAAGTTAGAATTATTTGATCAGCTCAATGTGAGTTATTGAGCCTGTTTATCAGTGCTTGAGTTGATCAGTCAGCGTGTTTGTTATTGATCTGTTAGTGGAGAAATTTTGCAAGAAAGTTATTAAGTTTAATTGTGAGTTAGGCGTACCATTAGTCTCGGAATCTAAGTTGAAACTTTTTTGTGAAGTTGGAACTACCAGCAAACATAGTCTGTATAGAACGTTACTGAAGTAAATTAATTCGTTATCGTTAAATGAACTGGACTACCTATTATGATTACCAAAATAAAGTAAAATAATTACAACAACACTAAGAAAAAGGCTGCTAGGGAACAGCACCTACTGCCAACTTTTGTCTGATCGAAAAGTGGGATTTAACTGTCACTCGTATGGTGCATCTATTATCTCGATGTACGGAGCGCGTTTTTGCAGCGACGGATTGTAAGTCGTAAATCTCCGGATTCAAAATTTGGGCACGCTAACTACTAGGCCATACTTAGTTCTTTAAGAACTGGAAAATAACTAAAACGTAACAATGATTGCATACAGGGAAACGTTTATGTGATTTTGTTTGTTTGTTGTTAAGCACAAAACTACACAAGCTCCATTATCGTCAGTAACGCTGGCTCAATTTCTGACAATGCAAGTTACTTAATATTATAATTAATATACTTCAAAATTCCAATTTTTATGAGTTATGTTAGCTCGTTTTTAAAGTTCAATATAATCAATTTATGCGTGCACTTTAAATCAATGGTTTCCAAACTTTATGTAATGGCGTTCCCAACTCAGCATTATTTTTCTCCTTCATACGCAATACTCATACCCCCAGCCTAGCAACAAGTAGCACTACCAAATATTATTGCCAACTGGCCTCCTGGTGGGAGTTTTTTTGTTATAAAATAAGTTTTATTTTCGTTAGCCTAGTCTATCGCGTCTTCGTTTTTTTCCGCTTTTTTCTTCGTTATGTTTTTGGTTCTTCTGGCAAAAGGCCACGCCCCACAGTTTGGAAACCATTGTTTTAAGTGAACACTAACAGTATATACATATATATATATATTTGCACAAAATAAAAAAAGAAAGAGATACTTACACTTAAAAAAATTAGTTTTTGGAAAGGAGTTCCATCCCACGACCACCCGTTTGAGTGTTTCTTTTTTCCGTTCTTCCTTGAAAGTTCTTGTTTTGATAGTGGCAAGCTGCCGTTCAACTTTAAATTTTTTGCACTCTTATTGGATAGTTTAACTTTAGTCTTGCGCTGTTTTTCATCTTGGTGTTCTTGTTTAATTACGTAGTCAAACTTTTTTGATTGGTTGTGCTTTATTTTTATGCTGCTGGATTTTAGAACATGGAAAGAACCATTACCTTCCTTTAACGAATTTTTGAGTGCTTTATTGTTTGAGCTATTGCTGTTTTGATTAGAAGTAACTCTTTTCTTAGTTCTTCGCTTACTTTTCAACTCTTTAGTCTTTTCGGAAGCCAACGTCTGGTTAACAACATTTTGGTTCTTGTGGTTGGGTGTGCATGATATGTTCTGATTTCCGTTCGCTGTCGAACAACTGGGTGTATTCTTTCCAGGCAGAGAAATTGGTGGTCGTTCCTTTTCCAAAGATGAACTCATTCGTCCGTTTAACACAGTACTAGGATTGGGGCAAGGTGGTGCTTCGCAGTCAGACTGAACGGCAATAGCTTTATCTGTGTCTGATCTAGGAAATGTAGTCTTACCACAGCTAACAGTATGTTTATTTAAAGAAAGCTGGTGGCTATGTCGGTGTGGACTGGTGTCTGAAGGGTTCACTGGTTCTGCTTTTGGCACTGAAAGGAACGAACCTTCGGGTGAAGTTGGCTTGGGTATTTGAGTTCTTATGTCTTTTTGTCGACTGATGATCACTGGTGTCAGCTCATGGTAGGTGGGTCCTGGAGAATAATTACGAGAATTATTGTTTCCTTCGTGCCCAGTACTCTCAAGCTTTGGGTTGTGGCGTTGCTGAATGGGTGAAGTGTGTGATTGGTAATGGAAACTTGGACCATGAACAGAACCGTGAAAATTGGAATGGGTGCCTGGAGGTATCTGTGGAAGAGAATGACATGATGGAGACTGTTTCAGATGTCGTCGAGGAAGAACTAAACTATTTTCTTGAGAATATAACCCACTTGTGGGATTGTTTGGATCTAAAACATCAGACGGAACGGGGTACGGTCTGGGGGTTTGGTTATAATTTGATATGTCTCGAGAGCAACGATAAAGATGAGGGTCTTGAAGAAAGCCGTGAGGAGGAATGGTTTTTGAAGCCAGCAGATTTTGGGGATAATGTGGACGTGGAGAGTCTGTAATATCATTCTGTAGAAGTGGTTGGGCATTATGAGGTAATGGATCTTGAGAAAAACCACGAGAATCATTGTTCTGAGGGGCATTTTCTTGGGAAAGAGGAAGAAGTTTTGTTTTGCGAGGCATATCGTGAGTGTAGTAAGATAGAGGAGGACTATCATGTGGCGCATCACGGTTGAAGCAGTGGGAGGGGTTGTTAATAAATTTATGTGGATAATGAAGCTGAGATATGGGTTCCATGGAGCAAGACGTAGCGGACCCATGCCGGGAAAGGCACTGGTTCCCGATGGAGTAGTGGTTATGTGGTTGGGAAGGTGGGGTTGGTTGTGAGGGGAGGTGCTGATGCTGAGTTGGATGACAGGGAACTGGTTTATGAACAAGATATGGATCAAGAATAGGCTGTATGATGGATCCAACCGGCTGGTAATAGCCATCTGGAAGGGGACAAGAACAAGAAAATTAAATTAGTCAGTTACTAAAGCTCATAAACTATTTCATTTCCAAGTTTAACAAGATAATTAATAATCTTTAGAGCCTGCGCTGACAAAAATAATAATTAAAAAACTGGGAGAAAAACTTATACTGTGACATTTCTAAGCATTATAAATTGTCTATAAAACAAGGAACTTATAAAACTACTAAACAATGAGATCATGAACTATTAACAGTTTAAATTCTTCCTCTTTAATACGTGTGTAATTCAATGACAATTTAGTAAATCAAAATCCATTAGAATGATAGTTTTGATAATGGCTGACAAGGGAAACTTCTGAAAGAACAAAGTTCTGAGACTTGGATATTAGTAATCTTATTACCGGCCAATTATTTGACATTATTACACTTACTAACAGCCAATTGTGATGTTACTTTCCCCATCACACCGAGTTTGATTCAATCGGTTTCGTATATAATCTATTTTATTATGCCATAAAAAAAATTCTGTCAGGGGTCGCTTTAATTTTTATGTGAAATGACCCTTTTCTGTTTATATTTTTCGAGCACAAGAAATATTTGCTCTAGATTCTCATTTCGAAGAAAAAATACAATACGTTCACGTTTCACAATTCTTAATTTTATTTTGAGACGCGATAATTATTTATGACAGTACTCAAACTATTTAGAAGATCCATTGCCAAAGGAATATATGAAAGAAACAAAAAGACCAAAAGTTTACCTAGATACACATTCTAGAAATAATACAATATAAAGAAATAAAATTATTAAATACGATTATCTATACCACATTCAATTCGCCGCTTATAGTATCTGGGCGAAAGTATAGTATTGGTAACGTCTTCTAGTTGACTTGATAATAATAATATCGAATGAATTCAACTAATACAAGCTGATCGAAATGGCTATGTTAACTACTAAGAAATTGCTAGCCAACCATTAATGAGTTGATATGAACATACTTTAGAGAGAACTGCAAAAACTAAGTATACACAAGCACCGAGTGATCGCATTTGGTGCGAAATAGTACACGACAGGGTTAAATTTTTTGATATTATTTTAGTTAATGCTGGCATAGCCCTGAGAGTGAGAATTAATTACTAGACTGATATTAATAAATTGTAAATGTTTTTGAAAGCGTGATTGATCTTCGGAATGAAGGTATCCATTAGGTAGTAACGCTTCAAAAGTGAGTGTGTTTTGGAAGTAATTTCAAACAATACCTCGCAACAGAAATGATATGAAGATTCAAACGCATTTTGATAACGTTGATAGTTATAATGTTCTATACTAACATAGCATTTAAATATATACCATTAACTTCTGATCAAAGCAAGCTATTGCCACATAGATCAGAATTAAAATTTAACCCAGTGATTAATATAGCTAAACAAATACACCGGTCTAACTTTATGTATGTAATGTCATAAAACAAGAAGTTGTACTGATTAGAATGCAATGATTGATTCATCAGGTGGATACCTTGCAGTTAGCAACATTTTCGGCCATAATCCCAATAATATCTCACGAAGTTCGGCCAGTCAGTGAGCGATTCAGATCTCCATATACCAAGAAGTTTCCACTTGTACTTGCTATACTTCTTATCAAGTGCAGAAAAACAAAACAAACAAAAATTCTTTGAAATAAAAAATATAAACATGAAGACCTAAGTTATAAAAATGTTTTCTGTTTTGTTTATTTGTTTGCTTTGTAATTAAGCACAAAACTACACAGTGGGCTATCAGTGCTCTGCCCACCACGGGTATCGAAACCCTCTGTTTTGTTTCAAGCAAACTCAGGCATATGTTGTAAGCAAATAATCACTTTTAAAGTTTCGTATAATATAATATCGCTTCAAAATCCATGCAAAGTAGGAACATAGACTTAAGGGAAACGAAGACCTCAAAATCCACCAATCTCTAACCAAAATATTTTATCCAACAATTTTCTGATAAAATATATATTAGGGTGTACACCACTAAACCCCTTCTAATTTGCTGAAATCTGGCCTTCTCTATAACAAGATGAGGAACTTGGTACAAAAAGAACGTCATGTATATTTTTAATTTCTCTTCTAAGCCATACTTGGTCAGTATTTTTAATTACAAATGAATAAATATTAGAAGAAACTTGACATGTACTGTTTGTTGTCGGTGCTTTGTCTATATAAACAACTGATGTCAAATGTAGCAATGTAGGCGTTAAGCAGAGAAATTCAGATACCAGTTACCGGATTCTGTGTCTATATAAAAAAAAACAAATATAGTAAACAAAGAACAGAAAAACATCAAGTATCGAGCAGAGAAGTGAAAATACCAGACGAAGGACTCTTTACGCTGGCTACTTGCAAGTATTCCGAAGTTTCAAAGCACGATGATTCTGGTAAATTAGAAACACAAATAAAATTTTTCCTAAGGGAAGAAATCTAGCACACATTCAATTACCCGTCAGTAGCAGAACATCCAAAGTCATCTATTTACTTGGGCGACGTTTCGATAAAATCTTTTCTTCGTTTAACTGATCCCCCCCCCCCTCTATTTCTCGTGATTCAGTCATTACACAGCGTCACGTAACTTTATCAGTAATCTGTCATATTAATAAAAATGTGGTATACATACAGGGTGTCCCAAAATCAGTTTCACCCATTCTCACGGATTATAATATCAACTATCAAAAAACGTTGTAACTGTTAATACACATACGTTGTGTTAATCATTGTTAAACATGCATCTTGTTTACCTACTACTCAAAACCTGATGAACGAAATTCTCTCTCGACATTTTTTGATTCAAATGAAGGAAAATAAGTCATTCTGTTATAACACCGGAAATGATCCCGTCATAAAAATAAAATGCACATTTAATGATATTTTGTTGCTACGCGCTTAGCGATATCCTTTTATGCAACATCTGAAGGCTAATTTTTAGCTTCACTATGATTTTTCTTTAACGAATAATGTTGGACAACAAAAAGGAAAAAAATCACGCATGTCGTCACTCATACAGCTACCTTATACTTGTGTATTTTTATCTGCATTTCGAGAAGTTATATATAACATTTATATGTTTATTTAAATATGTGTAAGTAACTTCCAATTGGACTAACAATTCTAAAGTACATATCTATATAGAACTATCTATAGAACTTTGTTTGTCTACAATACTAACCAACTCTAACAATGAAAATATGAGAAGTCGACTCCTATCCCTCGTCGTTAGTCTAATCTTCGGTTACTGAACAATTTGATTTTTATTCAACACTAATACTTTGTACTATCATGGGAAAACAAACTGTTCTATTATTTTCACTCGCGGTATTTTGACATTTTCAATCTGAACGCCACCTTATGCGACACACGGCCTAAAGTCAGAGACCCCAAAATCTTTAATTTAGAACTGTTTACTGAAGAGAGGGCAACGAGTCAGCAGAATCAGGCACCTATCTGGCTACTCTTAACCGAATTCTAGTATTGACTCTCATTCTTATAACGTGTCTAAAGCCACAAGCGTTCAGCGACATATTGTGGCTCAAACTGTAGATCTTTCGTTGATAACAACGGACACGGACTATTTATGGCAGGACAATGAGAATATTCCACATATGTCTACCTAGTTTCACAAAAATCCAATCATTTTTAACTGAGTTATAGAGCAAAAATAGTGTGAAAAATCGGTCCCATGTTAACAGATGGTTTTTATTTATTTTCGTGACCTTGCCCTTCCAAAAAGTAATCCCTTCTAAGTTGGATCATAGTCCGAATGTATACCAACTTTCGTCCAAATCCATTCAGCTGTTTTGGAGAAATCTTACTGACAAATACACACACACACACACATGGGTGAAAAACAACCTCCGTCGTTTCCTTCGTATTACAAGTAAAATATTATGCATGTAAACTTACATGTTTTTTCATTTGTTTTGTATAGAATAAAATAAGTAATATGAACCTGGTGTTTTGTTAAACTGTAAATTTGTTGTTAATGGATAAAAAAATTTAAAAACTGGTAATAGTTTTCCAGTTATATGTGTATGATCAAAACAGGCGACCAGTACTGTAGACATTGGTAGTTAGAGCTATTTTTTTATTATAATATAATTTGTGAGAATGTTCCTGGTATGAATTATACATAGAAGTGTTAGTAATTTTTATGTGTTCAATTTTAAGCTGGTTTCTGTCGTACTCTAAAGTGTTTCTTTTTGCCGTTTTTTACAACAATTACATTCCAAGCATTTCCTAACAAACGTTATCATTTGTTACATTTGGCTTTCTGCCAAAAGACCGAGCACGTGAAAGACAGAAATTAACCGACTTTATATTTTAATTATTTTGTTGCTACAAGAATGACATTATTTTTTTGACAAACCATTACATAACAAAACACTCACAAATACTAATGCTCAAGCACAAATAACGTTAGAGGATGACTCCTATACAGAGTTTACTCTTGATAAAAGTATACAACACTGTAGAAGTTCGAAACAATAAAAAAATCCTTTCAAGCACAATTGAATAATACCTCTCAAACAACGTATACGAACACACCATCTAAACACATGTTGCGTATCTGCTTGTTTGTTAATTTCCCGTAGAAATTCTTTCCGAGAAACTTCAGCGATAAAAGTCCTTTCTTGATTAAAACTAGTTTATTCTTTCTCGATACAAACTTTGTAATTCACTTAACAACTTTTATAACACACGCTATAAATCACAGTGATTCACACTCTTTAATTACAGCGAGTACTGTTCGCTTGATTCAATTATCTATCTGCCGCTGGCTTTCTTTGCCAGGCTTATATATACTAAAAAACAGGGCATCTAGATCACACTCGAGCTGGCGGCAAATTCATGATCCTTCGAGAAACTCCAGCGTGCATGCTCCCACCGTCGCGTGACTTCCGCTGTCGTAACACACACAATAATTAGAGAAGGTGTACTAAGTACCTATGAAGACCCATACCTGGCTGATTAAGTAAT